GCGAAAATATGACCTCAACGACATACACACGGAGAGACGATGTTGAAAAAATACAGCACGGTACGGCAAAGTTGCGTAACATCGTATGCAAAGTAAGAAATCCACGGCATATCAGGAACTTTCAGCACCGCAAACACGTCATGAGACGTTCTCATGAAGCCCAGTGCGCGGCGACTGACACCGGGGTATTTCCTTACCTTCCGAGGTAATATATTGATGAATGCGATTTTCACCTGTTGAAAATACCTCGGGTATGTTTACCTCGGAGGCAAACAGTACCTCAATTTCAATGATGAACCCGACTCCTGGTGACAAACCGATTCGGTACACATAATGGTATCCAAACGCAAATGAATAAAATTCCATGTCTTGGTGCACCAGTTGTTGAATATCGTTGCTCAAACTGAGCAAATTTCTAATTGTAGGCAAGGTTTGTGCACATTTTGAATGTTTGAGATGAGTTTTTGAGCATTTAGGTAACCGCGTTCATTTAATTTTTCAAAACCTGTTATATACATACTTCTATCTAATAACAAGGGAATGCTTTTTACTTAAAGTGGCCATTCAAAACAAGATATATACCATAATAACAAGTTGGGTATGGGAAACACAAATTTGTCTTCCATATCTGCGAAACGATTTTCTGGAAAAAGATATGGACGTTTGTTTCTATAAGGCCACCTATAGTACGTAGTACTTGCACACTCACACAAGGTACTGAGTGCAGTGGTAAGTGTCTTGGTTTGCAGATGTGCGGTACGAGTTCGATCCTGTCGCTGACAAACGTTTTGCGTTTTTTGCAATAATGTATCTGCTTGATAAATCTTGAAAAAACACTATTTGACTATGTTGTCAAAAATATTTATATAACGATAAGAGCATTTCCCTTTCCAAACTCTGCTCAGTTTCGCTTTCCTCCTGATTTCATAGGATGTTGCAGTGCAAAAAATTGCAACGAAAAACATTTCCTTCGATGCGCTGACCGCGAGCAGGATTTATGTTTTAACTCTTTATAAACGACTACAACATATGTTCGTGGTGTATAATTTCAAATTAACATTGGTTTCGCATGTCTTTGGACAATAAATCAACAAGTTACCTGCATTTAAGAGCTTTCTCTAGCAATAACACGTAATTGCAAAAAACGCAAAACGTTCACCGCTGAAAGAACTCGAACCAGTCCACTCCTCTTACCTGTTTGCGTCCGCCCTTGTTTAGTGGATGTGAAATGCGAATTTTTGAAGATACATAGAGAGGATGATCAAGTTCATCCCCCTTACGTATCTTCAAAATTTTTAAGCCCCGAGTCAAGTCGTAAACGATGTTATAAATTCCTTATGTCGGCTTGTAATAGGAATTCGGCAAGTTGAAAAACAACAACTTTCATCAGACGAAAGTGATGTAAGCGCGACATTTTAATCAATGACCAGATGGCATAAACTACTTACGTAACACGGTGCAGAACTTCACGGTATTAAGTGGAGGTTAAGTTATCGTATTTGGGCTCAAACCAGTAACAAACCTGTTCCGTGTGCACTTCTACGAAATCCGTATTCAATTGAAAATCTTAGCTCAAGTAAAATTTTTAAAATGATTAATGGGGCTTAGAAGAAAAGATTGGGAATAAAGAGTTCTAGCTTAGAAGTTACGAGGCATATTTGATCCCATTGTGCAAACATGAGACCACTATCCATATCTTACTGTATACCGTAAAGCCTTTGAAGAGGACTTTTGTGGGCAACTATTTCTACTCGCGAGTCTAAGCATTGGAGACTAATGCTGTTGAAGGGTATAGGCCTGATACAATGCTAACAGAGCGTGCACCTTTGAGAAAAATGAGTTACATAAGCTAATGATCAGTCACTCTACTTCATAAGCAGTAATTGAACTGGCTAATTGTTTTGCGCTGTTATTTTTGTTTAGGCAGTAGGACAAGGCGTAATGAACGCAAGTTTGAAGACGCTATTTTTCTGGCAGATGGCGCAGTCAATAAGAAAACAACGCTGTGTCGCTTGATATGAAAGTGAATCTTTAGAGACTCACTTCGGATGTGATTCTACAGAAGTTCTGATCGACCGAACATGTTTTCTTCCAAAAAAAGAAGTAAATTTTGCCGAGGCTGAGACAGTTTGTGGACGAAAGCACAAGCTCCATAAGTTCACCAGTGTTTTTGAGTAGAAGTGGATTACAGGTAGGAGGAAAATTCAGAATTTCTATGTTACTTTGTGAAAAAATTTGAACTCAGCTTTTATGACCAAGTATCACATGATGTGGACCGCCAATACAATAGCAGACACAAGACTCCTCAAAGTAGAACAGCATGCAGGTGAAGATTAAACTTCTTAGGAGATTTGTTGAGGTTAATGTAATAGTAGTTTGACATATAGCGGTAAATATCATAGACCGTTACCTTTCCATTGATCATTTCAAACCTATTCTAACATCTGACACCTGGGTCAGAATGGGAAGTTTCGACAAGATTATCAATGTCGTTATTTTCATTAGATTTATGGACTTTATGAATTGGTCTATAGGATATTGTAGTCCAAAATACTCGTTCTGTATTTTCGGGTTATCCAACAACCTTGCTCTAAATGCGCATCCTTCATTATACCCAGTTTCAGGTAAATGCTTAAACAGTAGCGGAGGACGACTAATCGAAACAAAATCGGAACATATGGCTATAGTCACCAGCAGAGGATCGAT